TCATATCCACGATTGCTGCTTGCAGATTCCCCATCAATTCCACGATTGCTGCTCGCGACGGATATCAGATCCACAAATGAATGAGCTGCGGGTCATATCTTGAACCTGATGCAACCGCGTAAGTGGCCTTACATTCTTACAGGGCTAGGTCAGGCAAACTGTGGACAATATGGAAACACGCAATCGGAAGGAACAAATCAAAGGAAGGCTACATGGAAGCCGCAAGGCAACGCGAAGACAATGGAGCACTGATCGACATGCAAAGTACAACCACCCCAAACACATACTAACGGCAAGCTGCAAATGGCAAATCAGCTACGAACATGCTGAAAGCAGACTGCAGGAAAGATAATCACGAGGCGATAAAAAACGAGTAAACATCAAGCTCAAACTTGCTCGGAGCAACATGTAGACAAGCTAAGAATTAGCCCGACCAAGGACCCAACCATATGCAGCTGCGAGTGCCGCATTGTGGGTACCGCTTTCGGTGGAGCTCCCTATGGGGCCACAAAGCGTGCGAGGGGTGACGCATGTGGCCACCGCCACTGGGGCCTTCGGTGACGCTCTCTGTGGGGCCACGAAACGTTGTCCTGGGTGAGGGAGACGCATGCGAACTGCGCCATTGGGACCTTCGTTGGAGCTCCTTATGGGGCCACGAAACTTCGCCATGGGTGGGGGAGACGCATGCGAACTGCGCCACTGTCGCATTCGGTGGAGCTCCCTCTGGGGCCACGAATCGCTGTCCTGGGTGGGGGAGACGCATGCAAACGGCGCTACTGTGACCTCCGGTGGAGCTCCCTATGAGGCCACGAAACGCTGTCCTGGGTGGGGGGAGACGCATGCAAACGGTGCCACTGGGGCCTTCGGTGGAGCTCCCTATGGGGCCACGAAGGGCTGTCCTGGGTGGCGCTCACGCATGCGGCCTGTGACACTGGAGCCTTCGGTGGAGCTCCCTATGGGGCCACGAAGCGCTGTCCTGGGTGGCGTTGACGCATGCGGCCTGTGCCGCTGGAGCCGTCGGTGGAGCTCCCTATGGGGCCACGAAGCGCTGTCCTGGGTGGCGTTGACGCATGCGCATTGCGCCACTGGAGTCTTCGGTGGAACTCCTTATGGGGCCACGCAACGCTGTCCTGAGCGGCATTGACGCATGCGGCCTGTGCTACTGGAGCCTTCGGTGGAGCTCCCTATGGGGCCACGAACAGCTGTCCCGGGTGGCATTGACGCATGCGGCCTATGCCACTGGAGCCTTCGGTGGAGCTCCCTATGGGGCCACGAAGCGCTGTCCTGGGTGGCGTTGGCGCATGCGGCCTGTGTCACTGGAGCCTTCGGTGGAGCTCCTCCCTATGGGGCCACGAAGCGCTGTCCCGGGTGGCATTGACGCATGCGGCCTTCGGTTGGGGCCACGAAGCGCTGTCCTGGGTGGCGTTGACGCATGCGGCCTGTGCCACTGGAGCTTTCGGTGGAGCTCCCTACGGGGCCACGAACAGGTGTCCTGAGTGGCGTTGACGCATGCGGCCTGTATCGCTGGAGCCTTCGGTGGAGCTCCCTATGGGGCCACGAAGCGCTGTCCCGGTGTAGTTGGCGCACGCGGCCTGTGCCACTGGAGCGTCCGGTGGAGCTCCGCATGGGGCCACGAAGCGCTGACCTGGGTGGCGTTGACGCATGTGGCCTGTGACACTGGAGCGTTCGGTGGAACTCCCTGTGGGGCCACGAACCGTGTGAGGGGTGCGCCAAAATTGGGTGGCGGCGATGGTGATGATCCTGATTGTGGATCATGACGATGGCGATGATGATGACGATGATGACAATGACGAGGCGGATGGGAGGAGAGAGGAGGGGGAGGAGGGAGGAGGGGGAGGAGGGAGGGGGCAGCGGGAGGAGGAGGAGGTGAGACGCGGGGCGCTCTCTTCAAAACGAGGACCCAACACCACAGGATAGTTGGGCATTCACTGAAGGAAGGCTACGCGCCTAGCTACAGGGTAATCTCGAGAAGCAAATATCGACCCCCCTCTGGAGAAAACTGAATACTTCCGCCCGTGGAAGTGATACCCCCGGCCCCTGCATAAATGTGGATCTCGCCTCAGCGCCGCGCACATTCGCCTTGAAAGTTTGTAAAAGCTTCCCGGATGGAGGGCGGGACCTCTCCATAATGCGAACGAAGCTCACCTTAGCGCCGCGCGCATTCGTCTTCAGACATTCTTAACAACTTCACGGATGGAGGGCCGGTCCTTTTCAAAAGGAGGATCTCCTCTCTGCGCCGCGCTCATTTGTCTTAAAAGCTTGCGAAAATTGCACAGATGGAAGACGGGTCCTTTGCAGACTGCGCATCGCGCTTCTGCGCCACGCAAGCATTTTCACGGATGGAAGACGGGTCCATGTTCTGCAAGCGGCCCTCGCACCCGCATCGCACACATTCGTCCCAAAAGCTTGCGAACGCTCCACAGATGGAGGGCGGTTCCTTTTCGGAATGTGCCTCTCGCGTCTGCGTCGCGCGCAGTCATCTTAGACTGTTGCAGCACTTTTGCGGATGGAGGGCGGGTCCGTTTCAACGCGTGCCCTTCGTATCTGCGCCCTGCACAGTCTTCGTGAAGTGTTGCAGGACCTTCACAGATTGAGGGCGGGTCCTCTTCAAAATGTGGCTCTGGCATTAGCGCCGCGCACACTCGTCTACACATGTGCAGAAGATCACGGCTAGAGGGTGGGTCCGTTTCACCATGTGGCTCTCGTCCCAGCGGCGCGCGCATTCGCTTCGAAAGTTTGCAACGGCTTCACGCATGGTGGGTGGGTCCTCTTGCTCACAGTTTAGGATTTTGAAAGCCTCAGCGTGAAATCATGTATTGCGGCACCATGCGTTTGCCTTGTTGCCAATTCGCACGCACCTGCGCGTGCTCGCGCTCCCGTGTGCGCAAAGCAAAAACCAACCAACGAATGCAATATGAACGCTGGAGACCGATAATGAAACAAACGTTGTGCCTCTCGTGTTCTGAGGACCCGACCGTGACACATTGCATTGTGAAACCCCTCACCCTCCTTAGTGTTCGTACGCGCGCGCGCCCCTGCTTGCGCGCTGCAGAAGCAGCACACATATACCATCCTAACTTCGAAAACAGACTAGCGGCAACCACTTGTTTTACTCAAGGGACATCAACGTTGCGCGCTAGATTTTCCACACGTGTACCCCCTCGTACTCGGACAACGTATTGTGCCAGTGCATGTTCCTCCTTGCACGCGCTCGCGTACGCGCACGTACGCGTGCGCAGTGCAAACACCTGTACAATTGCCATCTCCATTTCACAGACGCAGAGGGGTGGAAACAAATATTCTGAGGGCATCGGAATGGAATAATGCATTGCGGCGCACTGATGTCCCCCATTGCTCGCGCACGCGCGAGCGCGATGGGGGAAATTGCACTGCGCCGCAATCCATGATTCCACGCGGGCGCTCCCCGAATACGACTGGAACAATTGGTCTCCGCAATTGGCTTTCGAAAATACTGAGGTAAATTCGCATTGGCGTTTGCATTGTGCGCGCGCTCGGGCAACGAAGAACAACGTTGCGCACCAAAGCGCCGCTCGACGTTCTGTCAAATTCCGGAAGAGGTGTTGACATTTTCGGGGATAAGTCAAAAACGATTTCTGACAGATGTCTGAGGAGTCCTGCAAGATCACTGGAACAAAAACCCGACGATACCTGAGAATTCGCTGATCCCCCTAACCCCCAATTGCTTTGTGTGATGCGACATGGCCGGGGGGATAGCTCGGTGGCGCTCCCTAGACTTACCTATGATTTTGGTGTCAACGATAGCGCCGGGGGGATCGACAAGTGGTTCCTCAAGGTGGAGCCTAGCAGAAGCCCCGTTAAAGACACATCGACATGGTATGCTGAACGCGCGCGAACTGTAGTGGAAAATCGCGACAAGCCCCCCAGCATAACTGAACCGACGGTAAGTAAAGTATTGTTTCGGGAACCGAGGAAGGGTTCATGGCAGGACATCGGCAGTTCTGATTACCAGACCCCGAGGACCTGCGGGATCGGTGGGCAGTTCATGACTGAGCATCAATCGCTCTGATTACCAGACCCCTCTGCGCAAAACATCCTCAACCCCCTCGAACCACGCTTAGAGTTGAGGTAAAGGCAGATCATCCTCTGCAGCGCGCCGACATATTGGATTCAAAAGCAAAAAGGCGGCACTTTAAAGCGTGAGCCCGGGTAACAGCAGTGGTGATCTAGAGGCGGTTACACCTTCGAGGCAGAGCAGCAGAAGATCAGGTTCGAGGCCGTTTCAACTTCGACGCCTCTCTGCGCATGCTTTCAAACGGTTCCCTGTTTTCACACCCTGGCTCAGCCCCAACGGAATGCGAAAGGGATGACACCGACGAGGGGGAAGGGGAGGAGGAGGGCAGAAACAGAGTGTTGAAGGGACAATCGCCATCCCCAGGCGTGGACTCATCTGGCACAGCCGACTTAGAAACAACTGCGCTGCAAATTTTGTTCGCGGGCTTCCCTGACCCGGCTCAACCAATAATAGGGAAGGCCAGAGCCGCGAGCGGCTCCCAAACCTGGCTCAACCAACGTCAGGCATTGCAGGATCCCGCGGAGGCGGAGGATGAGGAGGAGGAGGCGAAACCCCGAGACATGCGATGTATTGATCCTTTCAAGTGTGCTTCGAGGGTGGCGGGGCCCGGCGAGCGGCCGAACACGGCCGAAAATGGGGAAGCCAAAAGGTACCGATACCGCTGCTCCCCAGACTTCTCCAGGGGTGCGCTCTGACCAGGATTTCGAGGCGAATCCAACGGTGGCGACGAGGACTCCCCAGGAGGCACAAAAAGTGGAGCACGAGGGAAGGGTGTAGCGATAGGGTGCCTTTTCCTCCTCTGAGAAAACCTCTCGTCGTGACATCGCCCGCGACACGAACATGTCCGGGCCCGTTTCCTGCCGGCTGCCACTTGCCCTCTCCGGCCCGAGCGGCAGGAAGGCGTGTGGCTCCGAGAAGGGCAGGCCTCGCGGCGCCCGCCCGCGAGTGGCGGCACGCCAGCCAGAGCGCCGTGGCCCGCTGCTCGTCGCCGCCCTCGCCCGCGAAGTCTACCTCGCGGGGGCTGCTCTCGCTAACCAGCCTCGAACGTATCCCTATCCCTAAGATGGGCGAGCAAAAAGCGAGGACAATCTTGGGGACAGGCCCTCAGAAACTGAGGGAATCCTTAAGATCGGCATCGAGGTGAGGTGATGTAAAACATAGAGATAGGGATAGGTTTCAAACTGGTAACACGCCTCTCCTGACTCCGAACTTCTTGGCAAGCGTCGGGGGGGGCGTCACCCCCGCCGACGGCCCCCCACCGACCCCCGTCGCGGGCAGCCACCGAGCGCCGAAGGCGCTCCGACCCCCGTCGCGGCGCGACAACGAGGCGAGGTTGATCCCCGTCGGGGTCCCCCCCACGCTTATTACAGTGAAAACGTATAGTAAGGACGGGTGGGAAGGACGCGAGACCCTTGGAGGCCGAGGTTGGGATTTGTTGGGCGGCGGCCTGAGAGGCTGGCCAGGGGAAACGGCAAAGGACGGGCCGCAGAGGCAAGGACACAAGGGTGCCCTAGAAAAGGCGCGCGTCCATACTCTGCGCGTTGACTGTAAGAAGCCCAGAGCATGCTTCCCCAGACACCGTGATAAGCATCACGACGAGAGGTCGTTGGACGTCTTCGGCCTCAGTTGGGGCCCTCGCCGCGGGCCCCGAGGACCGTCAAGAAGCGACGCTTGGGATGCAGAGCTGCCCCCATGGGGAAGCAGGAGCAGGAGGAGGAGCAGGAGGAGGAGGAGCAGGAGGAGGAGGAGGAGGAGGAGGAGGAGGAAAGAGCGTTGGGACTCTCGGGGACCCCACATGGCCAAACATCTAGCCATCGGCCAGCAGGACAGCGGAATTCGGGCATGGACAGATAGCCCCCTTGTAGCAAAACGTGGCTCCGTGAAAACGACCTCGGGCCCCAACCTGGCAGGCGCAAAATCCTGGAAAATGACGGCCACCTCGCCCTCCGACGCCGCTGCCGCCGGCGAGGAGCAGGCAGCGGCGGCTGGTGGGGTTGCCGAGCGGTGGCCGCCGGCGCAGAGCTGGCCGAAGGGTTGGCCGTGGGGCAGGCCGTGGGGCTGGCCGTGGGGCTGGCAGTGGAGCTGGCAGTCGGGCTGGCCGCGGCGCCCTCTCGAGTACACCCTGCGAAATGCTTAAGAAATCATGGGTTAAGAAATTCATAGTCTCAGAAATGGAATAAAACCCAGAACTTCTATCAAAATCTTGGGATTTACATTGAAACGTTAAGAATAATCGAGACTCTGGACGAAAACTTAGGTTTTCTTAAGCATCGCCTAAGGTGTACGGACAATTCACGGATCGACGTGCCAGGGCGGGGGCTCTGTCCAGCTCCGAGCCGAGTAAGGAACAGAGGGGGGCTCTGCCGGCCACGGCGGGCCTCGGCTGCGCAGGGGTTCCCCGACCCGGGTAGGAGGAAGGGGGTGGAGACGAGGAGCCCCTCCTGAGCCAGAGTCGTCCTGATTTCGGCGTCTTGACTGTAATAATTACACCGCCGCCTCGTCCACCTCGTTTTATCCTCACCGTCGGCAACATCAGCGACCAAAACAACTCAGGACGCACGAGGCACATTGACCCGACCCGAGCACACGAGGACAGGCAATCACATGCATCGACAAGGCCTGATAGGGCGTCTATCGTCAACGACGTCAACTTGTACTGCAGGCGTACCGAGTCTTCTCCAACTCCTCATCTTCGGTGGCGACTCATGGGAGCCTCCCATGCCATTAATGGACGCTGGATCGACGCTAAACAACGCTACATCGGCGCTGCAACATCGACTGCCAGACGCTAATCGACGCTAGCCGACGCTTAGCGGAATTTAAAGGGTATACCAGGCTCCGATGATTTGTTACCGAACTCATCCTCCATTTCCTTCTTCTCTCCCCGTAACGTTGGCCCGAACGGCCGGGACTCCGCCCGTGCGCAGCGGGAAACCACAGTCTCACTGCACCGACCTTGCAGACGCGCTGCAGCGGATTTTCGCGTGGATTTCTGTCAATGCAAAAACCCCAAATCGGCCAGTGAAAAACGAAGTGAATTTCGCGTGGATTTGTTTTAGTCTTCATCCCAAGCAAATCCGCACGAAATTCACCTCGAAATCCGGACTGGCATTCTTCAGGACACTCTGGGCCCATCCGATCGTTTTCCGAACGAAATCCACTCTGCGATGTTGGCGCCATGAACAGTCTTCAGCCAGCCCGCGCGGTGCCAGCGCAACGCCTGGCAGCCTGGGACATGTTCGGACGTGTGCAAGTGCAGAAACCTGAGGGGTGGGCGAAGACCGAGTCACGCATGTGTAATCTGACTGCCGGACATGTGGATGAGAGGGTCTCCCTTCGCAAAGCGCTTGCACTCAGCAGCCCTCATGGGCTCCTGAACAGATTCCCAGACATGCGACGTCCTGATATTATTTTCCGGACGGCGTTCCTAGAAATCCCACTTTTCCTGGGACTGGTTTTTCATCCTGAGTTGTTTTTTTGGCGGTCCCGAAGCTCGGCGAGGGCCCCACGAGGCCGAAAACTGTCGAAAACCCGCCGTCCCGATTTATTGCGACGCGATCATTTCTGGGCTGCTTGCAGGGGGGGGCAGACATGCGATGTCCTGACTTTTGCGTTAAGTCGGGCCTGTCCCCTTACAAGCCGACTTTGGACGAAAAATTAAAAATACCCCAATTATACCCTGAAAGTGCTCAAACATTGTCAAAAAATGTCCCCAGGCTATGTCTTGACTATCTCTGAGTATTTCCATTGTAGAGGGACGGGCCCGACTTAACTTTTGCGATACGGGGCCCTCAGGCGCCCCGACTCGGCGGTGGACAAACCTCCCTTTAGTAGACCTCCCCTTAGTGAAGTCGGCCTGGGACCGAAACCGACGGACCTGGACCCGCAAAAATGACGGCCGCGACGCCCTCCCGCGAACCGAAAACGGCCAACTCCTTCATCGACGCGTCAGGGTAGGAGATCTGCCCACCCCCGATGTTTGAAACACCGGCAACAATCGGATGATGAACAACCATAACCAACACCGAATGTCTGACATCTCGAATCCAATGTGTAAAATCACATCACGCAGGGAGGGGCGGAGATCTCCCGCATACAGTCAGGGGAGAGGGGAGAGCAGAATTCAGAAGGTTGAATCGTCAAGGGCCAAGCTGTGCGCGTGCGCCATATGTGAAACCACCCCCGACCGACCCTCTTCCCAGGGCGCCCAGTGCTTCCTCTCCGGCCCACGGCGCCCGCCCCGCGAGGGAGGACCCCTCCCGATCCTTGGAGACTGCCAGAGGCCTCTCCGTCGCGCCGCCGCGTCACGGCGCGAGCATGTCGGCAGCGAAGCGGCCGTACACGCCGGTGGGAAGAAGTGGGTAAAAACACAAAGTAGGCAGATAGGAGCGTCACCGATTTGCGTCAGTAAATAGACGCTAAAGACGCAACTTTGCGATACGTCATCGAGCTTGCTCAATACGTGGTTACCGTACAAGTCGGTCGGAAGAAGTAGGTAAATAACGATCAAGTTGACTGGGTCCAGGCCCCCCAAGGGAGCCACAAAACACAGCAGAAGCGCGTCGGTTCTTGAAGTAGGGAGGCGCTGGAAGCAGATCGGGATCTGGGAATCCACAAATACCTACATTCAGCGACCAGCGTGTATCCCTGTCCCCAGTGGCCCAGGGCCCAGGAAATGCCCGGCCAGGGCCAGCCTAAATGCACGAGCTGACGGCATGCGGCTCCTCCTCCTCCTCCTCCTCCTCGAAGTTCAAGACTGCGGACTGTCTGTCGCCTCCTCCTCCTCCTCCTCCTCCTCCTCCTCCTCGATCCGCCTCTTCACCTTTGCTGCTATACGGGTGCTCTGGAGTCGACGCTCGCCGGGTGGCGGAGGCCGATGCGAGCCGCGGCGGCCGCGGGTGCGCACGGAGCCCACCCGCACGGGGCGAGCCAGAGGAGGCCGGATGGCGAGCACGCCAGGGCGCAGCGGCGTGCAGGCGGGCGGGCGCCGTGCGCGAGAGGCCTGCGCGAGAGCGGCTCGGGGCCAGCGAGCCGGATGGAGGGGCCGTGCATCGAAGCGGAGAGACCGTTGGTGGCACGCTGGCCACGCACGGACGCACGGCGGCACCCCTGGCCCATCGCCTGGGTGCCGCCGCCACTGGCCCCGCCGCCGTTTCTGCCCCCGTCGGCGGCGAGCGAGGGGGGGAAGTGAGGAGGAGAAGGCCTTCTCAAAGGGCGGCGATGCTTCTCAGAAGACCTCTGGCCTTCTGAGAAGTTCTCGGCGCCTCCGGGGAAGGCCCCGAACACTTCTCAGAAGGCCGGGGGACTTCCGAACCTTCTGAGATGGCCTTCTCCTTCTTGCTGGGTCAACTTTCCACCACCGCTACCATGTGTAAGACGCGGGAGAACTGAGGATTGGGACGTCCTCCTTCTCCTCCACCTTTTCCCTTTCCTCCTCCTCCTCCTCCTCCTCCTCCTACCCATGGTAGTGGTGGTGGAAAATCGGCCGATCACTTCTCACTCCCCCCCCGCCGCCGTCGCTGCCCCTGCGCTGTGCCACCACCCGCTCTTCGCCGCGCCCTCTCCCCCCCAGGGGGACGCCGAGCAGGGGCACCCCCGCCGCCGTCGCTGCCCCTGCGCGGTGCCACCATCCGCTCTTCGCCACGCACATTCGTTTATAACATGTGCAAGAATTTCTCGAATTCCCATGATTAGCGTACCAGAATTGGTGTTTTGGAGAGGCTCCAGATTATGAGGGTGCAACAGTTACGTTGACTCGCGGTGCTGAAGTCCCAAGAACAGCTTTCTGGTACAATTTAGGATCGTCAAGGTGTGTAACAATCAGGTTAATCCGTGGTGTTGGAATCCCGAGAACAATGTTTTGGCACTCTTCAGGATCTTCAAACAGCTGTCTTCCGAAGAGGTAGTTCCCTCAGTGGACGTGAACCCTCGTAGGGGCCCATGAAAAGGGAGCTTGGGGGAAGGGTTTATTCCAACATCGTTGATGACTCGTGGGTTTGCACTGGTCCTCC